CAGGCGTTAAACGATCGAGAAAACGCGAGCCGAACAACAAGCACCAAATCAAATGTTTTTTTATATGGAGACATGCTTCTGACGGTATTGGAGGACACTTCCTGATGTGGTTAGAGACCACTTCTGATGGTTATAGTAGACACTTCTGAGTGTATATGGCGACACTTCTGAGATGTATTAGAGAGCTACTATCTGAGTGTAATTTGGAGATACTTATGATGTATCAGAGATAACTTGCTGAGTGTATTGCAGATACTTCTGATGTGTTGAAGAGCACTTCTGAGTGTATTGGAGACATTTTGAATGTGTTTGGAGGACGACTTCTAAGTACTATTGGAAGCATATCTTGCTGGATGTATTGGAGAGCAACTTCTGAGTGTATTAGAGATACTCTCTGCATGTTATTAGAGACACTTCTGAGTGTCTGGCCAAGGCCAAGACACTTAAGATGTGTCTCGCCAACGGCCGAGAACACTTCACCGAGACACTTTGAAGTGTCTGGGCTTGGCCAAGACACCACGGGTGTCCTCAGTTGGCTGTTTTGTTTCGGTTTTGGTTCGTTCGAGTTGTTTCCATAATAAATTCGTCGTCCCGGACTCGGAATTAGCGTTGGTTCAATATGGCGTTGGAAAGCCGACAGGGAGATCTACAGGGCTCCATGGGATTGAATTACATGTGGAGTCAAATGGGACGCGAGGGGTGTGCGCCGGCCTTTCGTAAACGAACACGGGGCTCCGCGATCAGGCTCTTATTCCTGTTAATGTAGCAAGTTTCATTGCTTTCGTATGGTCCAATGACTGCACTTCATGTGTTTGTGCGTTGTCCAAATGAGGCTTCCTGTGACTTGGATAGCAACAGGTTATCATCTATCTCTCAGGTCTGCAAGCCAACGTGCGGGGACGCGTATTAGGTTAATTTTTGATGCGCTATCAAGTACATGCTAAGGTACAGAGCAAATGTCTTAGTCTCAGGTGCGATCTATCATTTTGCCTTGCTAAGTAGAGAGGAGGAGGACTCTATCAATCGAGATGATCATTGGAGCCGAATAGGAAGAACAAGATACGCTATGTGAGAGAGGAATCAGAGGCATTGGGCCGAATGAGTCTAGTAGGCACCTACGGAGTCTGGCAGGCACTCACCAAACAACACCAGGAATGGCAGTTCATATCAAGACTCGATAAAGAAACTGGTTGAAAATGATTGAAGGTTTGGAAGTCGTAGCAAACAACATATTTAGCAGGATTGCGGCAGGAAGCAACGGGAGGCGTCGCGGAGAAGAGGAGAATTGGAGTTCACACAGTTCATGTGAACGTCTGCCTTAAGGAAGCGTCAGGAGGCATGCATAGGAGACGGTTTAATATGGACAGATCAGGGGGTAATTATATATAATTTATTTTTTAATTAATGAATTAAAATATATAATTTCCTTACTTATTTATGAATTTTTCTTTGTGAGCCTAAATGATATCATACACATTGATGCACACTGATACAAAACTGTTTAACCAGCAAAACCCTTAAGCTCTATAACCGCTTAACAAAGCGCAAAATATAATACGTTATAACTGTTTTTAATGTGATGGTGGTGTTGATGGTGTATGCGTGCATAAGTATGGTGGTATTGGTTGGTGGTTGGTTGGTTTGGTTTGATGGTGTTGTGTTGTGGTCGGTCGTTATGTGATTGGTTGGTAGGGGTTCTGGTGCGTGGGTGGGGGGAGGGAGAGGCAGTGAGGATTTAGTGTTGGGTGGTGGTGCATGGCACGGGGAGGGAGTGGGAGTTGAGTGTGGTTTGGTTGGTGGGTGGGGTTGGAGATTTTGTGGTGTTGTTGTTGTTGTTATGGTTGTGGGTGTTGGTGTTGTAGTAGATCGTTATCGTGATTGGTTGGTGGGAGGTTTTGGTCGTGGTGGGAGGGGGAAGGAGTGTGGATTGGGTGGTAGTGGTGGATAGAGGGGTAGGGGGTTAGGGGGTGTGGAGTATGGTTGTAGTTGGTGGGTGGTGGGGGTGGGGGATTTGTGGTGGTGGTGGTGGTGGTGTTGTTGTGTTGTGATGTTGTGTTGTGTTGTGTTGTGTTGTGGTATTGTGGTGTTGTGTTGTGTTGTGGTGTTGGGAGGATTATATTTATATTTGCACACTCTTGTTAACGGTTGATTTATATTTTGCAGACCGGGACTTTTAGACAAGGTGGAGCCGGGGGTAGTCATAGTGCACATGGTGATGAGGATGATGATGATGACCAGGAGGATTGATTGGGATTAATTTAACTTTAAAATTAATGAATGTGTTGTATAAACAATATTTCTTATGTACATATCAGGATACTTTTATTTATTTTATTATGTACATGTCGGGATATTTTTTTTGTTTTTATTGAAATATGTGTGTTATATATGTGTGGAATTGAATATTATACTGCTAATTGAACATGGTTTTTAAATTTATTATTGATATTGTACAGAGTGTTTTCAATTTTTAAAATATTTTTTAAAAAAATATCGGTCATTTTTAGTGACAGAAATTCCGTTGCTAAAGATATATTTAGTAATGGAAAATATATGTAGCGATGGAAAATGGGCACGGAAAATTTTTAAAAAAATAAATATATCTTTAGCAACGGATTAGTCGTTGCTAAAGATACTTTTAGCAACAGATAAGCCGTCGTTAATATTTTTTCTTTATTTTGAAAAAAAGTTTGACGAAAAATCTGTCACTATTTTATCGTCGCTGAAATTTAACGACGGAAATTCCATCGACAAAAGATCAATTAGGGATCCTTAATACACGGATGGTTATTTAGCAATGGAATTTGTTTTTTTCCGTCACTAAAAGTTATAGCGACGAAATTTCGACCTTTAGCGACGGGAACCTGGTATCTCTCCCCGCTCCTCTCTGACTCTCTGGTGCGATAACCTTGGAGCCATTTATTTGTCAGCCAACCCGGTGTTTCATGCTCGTATTAAACACGTGGAAATTGATATTCACTTTGTTTGAGAGAAGGTAGCCCGTCATGATTTACACAAGTTGTTATCTATATGTGTCAGTCTCACATTCATTTAGCGCATAGTATAATCAAATATATTAGCCAATATTTCAAACTAGAGAGGAATTATACAATAGTGCAGTTTCACGATTGCATGACCTTTGATGCACAAGATGCAGGAAAAAAGGGAAAAATCATATATTAGATTTCTTTTTCTTCATTTTCCTTAATCGTGCATATAAATATATTATTACAAAAAAAGGAAAAATTAGAGAAGATGATAGACATTAATTTGTCCGTGAGCTTTCTTCATTTATCTTCGGCTTGTTTTTTTAAAAACAAATGATGAAGTCCCTTGATCTTTGAATAGCTAAAAATTAAAGACTTTGAATAAAGTTACTTCTCTTCCCATCTCTTAGCTGAAGAAACCAACTAAAATATGAATATATATCTCTGAAAAGAATCATCTTTTCCTGTTTGTTTCCCCTTCACTTCTTCAACCCCACTCGACTCTCTTATTCACCTTCCTTCTCATTTTCTTCACTCCTCATTTTCTTCACTCCTCAACCTCCCCATCTGGGCGTCTATAAACTCAATAAAAAACATGATACATTCTTCGTCACAACCACCACATTGGAAAGCCAGAAGATAAATCTCCACAAATGCCACCAACCCCGCCTGCTTTTTCTTCTTGGTTACATACTCAGCCTCCTCCTCTCCTCTTGGTTACTATTTTCATTCATAGGTTTGATCGTAAAGTGATTGGCTGGAGCTGAGGATGAGAGGCTACGCGGGGACAGATTATACTATAAGATGGTATTGACGGAAAGAGTTAACTGATCGGGTGATGGAATCGGAGAGGATTTTAGCACATATTATTAATGAAGTCTAAGAGAGTTGATTGATTTTAATTGAGAGTGAGAATGCTCTCTGGATGTAGGAGAAGTGAACAGGCTCACCTTTGGAATTCCAAGTCATTACCTCAATTTAATTACTTGAATTTAACTAAGAGATAGAAAGCCCTTGATGTAACAACTCCACTCTTAGAGTTTCCTAGAATTAATGCTTTCTGCTTTGCAAGTAAATAAAAGTTAAATTAAACAGAAGTCCGTGTGTCAAGATGCAAATGCATTATTTTGTAGAAGATGCAAATATGTTGTATGCTATGTTTCTCGACCAGAGGTTTTTTTAAAATATTTCAATCATCTTAAATTACTAATTAAATTAAGAAATATCAGTTTAATTTATTATCTTATATACTAATATTATATATGTATTATATAATATTGTTCTACTAAAGTAAACCATTTATTATGCAATATTGTAATATAAAAGGTAAACCATTTATCTTATTTGATAATAAAAATCAATAAAATAAAATGAGTGGTTTTGAGAAATCAAAAGTTTTAACAGGCATATTTTCTTTTACTAGTTGGATTGCACGTGCAATGCACGTGGTAAAATATTTATTATTTATTTTCAATTTATAAATTTACAAAAGCAACTTAAAACTGCATAACTTTATTATTCAGATACAAAAACCTCATTTCCTAAATTACCCCTACTCCTTTATTCTATTTACCACTCTAGCCGCCATTTTTTTTCTCTTGACACGTAAGCTTCTAATATGTGTTTTATTTACGCTAATTACACTTGGTAGGGGTAATTACGGAAGTTAGCATTAATAATAAATAAGTAAATGAATATAAATTATTCGAGAAATTACCTTGCTTAAGGTGCATTTTACTTTTGCATCTTTCTCCGAACACAATAAGATATCATGTAAAACAGCACCAAAAATGGCAAACAAACACTGGCAATAATTAGGGAAAATACATGAAAATTGTCCTCGTGATTACAATAGAAGCAAGTCAATAATCACCTTTCCAGTCAAAAGAAGCCACACAAGACCCTCGGGCAATGGCTCCTTCCCACCGCTTGTAGCAGAAAATATAAACGTTGCGTCATTTATTTAAATATTTTGGCCAGGCTCAGACATTCTAGAAGGAAGCACACCAAAAGTCTATTGATGTTGTATCAAATTTTTATTTTTTTGCAATATTTTTAAAAAAAATGCACTTGTCTTCAATACATAGCATATATTACAACCAAACTCACGTCATCAGGATCAAGTAATAATGTTTCTCACAATAATCCAGTCATTCCTCTCATTCCACCTATAACCTATCAAAATTCAAAGATTTGAGATCAATTAACGTTATCCGCACACTATCGGCTATGTGCTAGTAATAGGTGTGTTGCCCACATAGCCACATGGGAAACATAAAATTGACATATCCATAATTTGTTAAGATGAGCACCATATCCACAGTGATGTTGCCAAGTTGAACTTTTCCATGTTTTGATTTTAGCTTCTTTCAATCGCTCTTGCAATGTATAGTAAAATAAACAGGGTAAGTCTCAACAAATCAAGCAATTATAAGCACAAGAGAACATAAGTCTGAATGTTATATTATTATTACAATGCATAGAGAGAAGAAAGAGTGTAAACTGCATCCTTGACAAGTTGAACTTTTCCATGTTTTGATTTTAGCTTCTTTCAATCGCTCTTGCAATGTATAGTAAAATAAACAGGGTAAGTCTCAACAAATCAAGCAATTATAAGCACAAGAGAACATAAGTCTGAATGTTATATTATTATTACAATGCATAGAGAGAAGAAAGAGTGTAAACTGCATCCTTGATTGAAAATAACATGTTTGATGTTTAATGTTTCAGGTATTAGTTTATGTGTCATCTTTAATGTATGCTTTGAATAATTATTCTACATTCAGTATCATCTGAAAACTAATATTTTGCAAATAATTTCTAAACGTGTGTTGATCTATTAAATTGCTTATTAAAATCAAGCAATATCTTATTTGTAAATCTTTTGTGTGTTTTGTATTTGCTAAGATTTAGTCATAGAGAACTTGTTGCGCGTGCATAAATTTTGTTGGATAATTTTTTATTAATAATAGGAATATAGATGTTTGAAAATCCTTCACTTACATCTTTCGCTGTTATCCTATTACCACTACCAATTTTAGATAGCTAATAAATATCTCTGTATACTTTTTCTGATGTCTGAATTTAATGTTTAACGAGATGAACGAAGTGCTAATTGAGCTGAAGAAAAAAAGCATGCAAGCAAGAGTAAACAAAATGTATGCTACTCACAGAGATATTATATAAAATCCTCGAGTAATTGAAGATGCAGTCAAATGGCCTCATAATTCCACTTACCTTCTTGTTCACAACAAGAAGTTCCTCCTTTATTTTTCCTTCAAACAAACATATATTTTTAAGAGAGATCGCAACACATCAGTATGGTAGAAACATGCTTAAGAAATTAAAAAAAATAAAATTTACGAAGATATATCACCATCATTTGGCTCTAATTCTAGTGGTTTTTTGAAACTTTGTATCGCAGCATCCACATTATTCAGTGCTATTTGTGCCTGGAAAATTTATAAGGCTAAAAATTAGCCACCAAAAGCATGGGCAGTCACAATATAGCCAATATATATTTATGCTCAAAATAACGATGATAGGAGTAATATTCTTATTTATGATAATGAACAGACCAGAGAAAGAATTTTTTTTCCCTAAGCAATACCACTAATACCACTATTATTTTTTCTAAGCAATATAGCCAATATATATTTATGCTCAAAGTAATGATGATAGGAGTAATATTCTTATTTATGATAGGAGTAAGATATATGAACCAGTAATACCACTATTATTGGTTTGAGGAAGTATTTCACCATCATAAGTAGTTGTGTCAAAATTGGTAACAGCTTCACTTCCATTAATTTTGATTGCTATCCTGTCATAAGCGCTGACCACCAACAGAAGAACTGTGATAGTTAGCAACCACGTTAAACTTGTTATTAAACTGTGATAGATAGCAACCATGTTAAACTTGTTATTCATACTAAGGAACTTATTGCTAACATGTAGAAAATCAGTGTTCGATAAGATGTTGCAGCTTCAATTTCGCTATCAAATAACCCAAGATATATACCTGCAACAAGAGAATGAATAATCAAGAATAAACATGAAGTAATAAGCATTTAGAAAACAAGTACACCTACAAGAGCTTTTAAAAATGATAATCACTGTTTGAGATGAGGACCCAAAAAGAAGAGAAATTGACTGAATCACCCACAACATCTGAAATGTTTTCAAGAAAAACAAAGCAAATCCAACCAAGTAGAATATATGCATTTATATGACAAAATGTTAAATTATTTAATCTAGACGTAAAATTGTATTAGAAAAGTGCACACTATTTCACACATTATTCTCAAAAGATGTTACTAAACATAGGAGGGTAATATATATGCACCAAAATGCTCTTAATGAGGAATAGATTCCTTGTGTACGCTATGCGTGCGTGTACATAATTCAATCTTGAGGTTAAAAAATGATGAGAAGTTAAAGCATTTTGGCCTTCACAGATATCAGAAATGGCCATCAACCATTTTAATTTATGACGCAACATAACAATTTGATGCTTTATACAGTTAAAGTATAGTAAGTTTCAAAGTTGGCCGAGCCACCTCAGGGTGGCTCGGCATGAGCCGAGCCACCCTCAGGTGGCCCGACTCCCCCCCCTCTCTCTCTTGTGCACAAAGGCACAGTTCAGAGAGGCTATAAATAGGGGGGGTGGTTGTTCATTTGAGGGACTTCTTCTGAAACTTTTGAGAGAGCCGAAACTCTGCCGGATTGTCACCTCAACTCGGAGATCTGAAGGCTTGAAGACTTGGAGACCCGGATTTGATTCTTAGCGAGCACCCGCACCGAAAAAGGCAGGAGTTCGAGAGAGTCTAATCCTCAGATCTACGTCGTTACACTCCGGATCTAAGCTTGGTTCTTAGATCCCGAGATTCGAGCGGTCGTTTCCTTGGTGAAACGATCCCTCCCGGCTATTATCTCCTTGGTGGGATAATACCCGTAATACGTCGTAGATCTGCTTGGATCCAGATCACGCGGTGGTCCACGGTAAGCAACCCCGGCGCAGGCAAACAACCCACAGAAGCAAGAGACCGGATAACAGGATCTTGTGATTTGTTCGGTAAAAGAGAGAAGTTGTAATTTTGATTTCTTTGTTTTATTTTGATTTTCATTGTAAGCCGGATCTTATAAAAAGACCGGATCTCTTTGTAACGCATAAAGTTGTTAACTGAGTGCAATGGAATCGATAATGAAGAAAACACCAACTTTCCCCGCGAACAATTGGTTCTTCACCCGGAGGACAAGATACCCAATGCGGATGTTCACTAGCTTTGTAAGCCGGATCTTATAAAAAGACCGGATCTCTTTGTAACGCATAAAGTTGTTAACTGAGTGCAATGGAATCGATAATGAAGAAAACACCAACTTTCCCCGCGAACAATTGGTTCTTCACCCGGAGGACAAGATACCCAATGCGGATGTTCACTAGCTACCGGAAGCAACCTGCGTCGAGAACGGTCCGATCACTTCTAGGTTTCTCCTTATCAATCAGCACGTCGCCAAAGCGACCTGAAAAGTAAGGGAAACACTTAAAGAACTCCCAGCTCTTGCGGACTCAAAGCTCTCGTTGAACATCGCTAAACTTATTCCCGAGCCACTTGCTCTTCTCCAACAGCTGCATGAAAGGTACGGGGATGTCAACAACGCTGGGCACCGACATCAAATCGGGACGGTGAAGAACGAGCCACGCCATCAAATATGCGTAAGGGAGCTCAACCTTCGGTCATATAATCTCTATTTGAAGTTTAGAACCTGATATTTTGCAGAAAGCTTCAAAGTGTGCAATGTTGTACATCCAAACAAACTCATTCAACCTGACAGTTAATCTCTATTTAAAGTTTAGAACCTGATAGTTTGCAGAAAGCTTCAAAGTGTGCAATGTTGTAGATCCAAACAAACTCATTCAACCTGACAGTTAAATTGCCAGACTTATAAGTTGAATCTAGTTGCTCAAACAAGTTGTGGTTGCTTTTAATGCAGCTAAAAGTGGGTTGACATTACATATAGCATTCATTACTAAGATTTTAGTTATAAATTTTCATAGATGATCATGAAGTTGAAGACAGGTTATCATCAAGATTTTAATGTTTTCCTTACTCGTCCAATATCAGCTACAAACAAAAAGTACTACTTATGGAAAATATGTCAAGGCTTAAAATTGATTTATGCACTATAAAGGAACCAATAAATAGATAATTAAGTAATGTCCTTAGGTTCTGTTGGATCTAATAAATATTTCTTGATTTTTTATGAAAATAACAAAGACAGGGATGACCAGATCATGCTCAATGGTTTGTTATAATATATTGGACGATCGTTCATTCCAAGCGCTCGAAACATACCTTTTTGGAGGTCTGATGGAGCAGTAATGATGGCTTTGCTTCATATGGGTCCAGTCGAGTTCCTCTACTACTGGTTCCACAGAGCACTGCACCATCATTTCCTCTACTCTCGATATCACTCTCATCATCATGCCTCCATAGTCACCAAGCCTATAACATGTAAGCTTTTTTATTGATTGTATGGCACTTATGGATACAATACTGTGTCCTACACATGCTCCAGGTAGAAAATATTGGTACTCAAATTGAATAATAAAGTACTTTATGTTTCCATTCTCTTCATGATCCTAACCACTGGGCCTGATATGTATGGATAAGTAATACACAAATTCTTTAATGCTTCTGTATTCCTCATATTACCTTAAAACAACAAAGCATTCTCACTTGTGCATTGGCTATTGCATTTTTTGATATTTATATCAACGTAGACAACATCAAGAGCAAATGATACAAACAGATTTAGAGTGTACCTCCTTTGAGTAGTTATCTATCCATCAGAATCGTATATTCATCTTTGTCAATGACCTTCTTCAGCCTACATATCTTCCACCTTAACGCTTTTCATCAAGTGATTTATCTCCTCAATCTTATACCATTCACATCTAAGCCATAGTTACCCACTTACCCCATATTTTTAGATCAATGACATATAAGCTACATGGTAAAAAACATTGGCAAATATGGAACTTGGTGACAGGGACATGACAGTTCATTAACTTGCTCAAGTTTAGCTAAGGGAAAAGCACAGGCCAAGTGGAAAGCTACAATGAATAATAGACCAAAATGAGCCTTACAAACATTTATGAGCATTTTTGTACGAGCCTTTAATTTTTAAGGTGGTCGGCATAACTTAAATGGTTACTAACAAAGCTAAAGAAACTATGTTTATAAGCTAATAATGACTTCTACTTCAGATATGTTTGATCAGAATATATGCATATGGTAAACAGAGTATGCACATTTGTGGTTTTTGTAAACTTAACCAGAATGCAAAACTCTACTCTATTTTTTATAATTGTGTGAGCTACCAATTGGTAATTAACTTCCAAAATAAACATTCCACTTTTTATTTTATATTAGTATAAACTTAAGTTCACAACACAATTTACATTACTACTTGTAGTCAGGACAATTTATATAAAGACCTAACTAAAAGCAACGTTGTTTGCATTGTACTATTTGGGAAGCATTATATTTGAATCAATGCAATAAAGGTTATTTTGGCTTTAACTTTTGTAGAATTAGTAATTAGAAACAGAAAAGAGAGATGATTTTCCCCTCCTGTTTACCTTTATTTATAAAAAATATACTAATCCAAGTCCAAAGTATATAAGGAATCGGAATCCTAATTTTGTAATAAGGAATTAAATTGCTTTTGATTTTGTTTTTAGTTTTATTTGGTGTTTCATTTTGAGATAAGGCGTTGTGAACATTCCTATGAGAGCTGTATGGAGGTCATGGCAATGCGAACAAAGGTTACAATGTGATCCAACATTCTACAAACAAACAATTGCATTGATATGAGTTTTTTGGTAGTATGAACATGACAATTTTCATAAGTCCTTTCATAACAATCTTCATATACAGACCTGCTAAATTAAACAATTGCATTGATATGAGGTTTTTGGTATTATGAACATGACACTGTTGTCATCACAAAGAACTGAAAACAGAAAAAATAAAGAATAACCACAGAAAAAGACTGGGCTCAGAATGGAAAAGAGACCTGGTGTCCTCAAGTATTTCCAACTTGCAACGATTCAACAAAGTACTTAAGAAGGCTAATACATTTATGCACTTTACAAAAAAATAATTTGCACTCAAATCTTGTTAACAAGCTCCTACCGTAAATAAGATAACGATGATATAAATTTCAAAATCAAAATCAAATTTAGAAAAGGATGAAATGTTACCTTCTTCGATAATTTTCCTTCTTGATCCGAACAAATGCCCAAAATCTAAGAACTGGGGAGATGATGGCAGGGGAGGTGCGGAGATGATGAGGGCAATAATACTCATCGTTGGCAATTAATGATTTAAGAAAGTGGGAGGGCATTGCTAGAGTGAAGTCGTAACCGACAGAGAGGAGGATGAAAGGAACGAAGGATTTCATAACCGACGGAGAAGAGGATGAAAGGAACGAAGGATTAGGGCTCCCAATTTTCTGAACTCTGTTTAACAATAATAAAAAGGGATAAAGTTGTTATATTTACAATAGATGAAGGGTATTTTAGGCTAGGAAAAGTTTTTTAAGAACTCCCTCTTTTAAAGGGTAGATAGACTAGTTGGATTGCACGTGCAATGCACGTGGTAAAATATTTATTATTTATTTTCAATTTATAACTTTATTTAGGGAAGATTTGGTATAAATATTGAATGCAAATGCATTATTTTGTAGAAGTTGCAAATATGTTGTATGCTATGTTTCTCGACCAGAGGTTTTTTTAAAATATTTCAATCATCTTAAATTACTAATTAAATTAAGAAATATCAGTTTAATTTATTATCTTATATACTAATATTATATATGTATTATATAATATTGTTCTACTAAAGTAAACCATTTATTATGCAATATTGTAATATAAAAGGTAAACCATTTATCTTATTTGATAATAAAAATCAATAAAATAAAATGAGTGATAATTATATTTTATTAAATGACTTTGATGCACATTTTGAGAAATCAAAAGTTTTAACAGCCATATTTTCTTTTACTAGTTGAATTGCACGTGCAATGCATGTGGTAAAATATTTTTTATTTATTTTCAATTTATAATTTTATTTAGGGAAGATTTGGTATAAATATTGAATGTAAACCATGGATCAAACATATAGACAGAAGCTAAAAATTCACAACATTTGAATAATAAAATTACATTTAGTGATTGATTGGGCAATAGTACACTGGTTGCATCTATAACGCAATCGATCAATCAAATACTGTCATAAGAATATACATAAAAGTAATGTTTGATGATGTGAATGTAAATCCAAGCTAATGGCATTAGAACTTGACTAAGCCTTTGCAATACCTAATGTGTGAGTACATATATTCACCTATGAAAATTTCACAATCCCATATAAAATCTATAACACTCATTAAGGATTCAACAAACTAAGGCTTCACAAGCTCCAAACACACTATTTCCATAATCCAAAGTTAGAGCATGACTAATTTTTATTTCACAGCAATGTAAGAGGACAATCTCCTTTTTTCCCTCGTAGTTTTAACTCCAAGAACCCTTTCTAGCTAAGTCGGCAGCTAAATAAAAATTTTCACTAACAACCTTCTGGTTAGCCTTTGTCCTTCCTTTTGAATATCGCTTGCTATCTTTAGCATTCTCTACATTAAGCCGCCCCATTTGTCGCTGAAGATCCACAAGAGAATCACTTGCTACCTTTGCCTTTGAACTCTTTTTTGAGTCAACAAACATTAGTTTTAATCTGTATAAAGCACAGACATCACACTTGTTGATCTCATACTCAAAGAGATGTCATTCGCAATTGTTCAATAGCTGTGGATCCATATAATAGGACCTCTTCAGTCCTCCAAACTCCTCCATTATTTGCTTCCTAGACTCATGCCAACCACGCCCATTGTAGTCTGGCATGTGTAAATGTTCTGTGTGTGCACACATATGTTTATACATATGTATATACACATATATGAATATGTGTGTGTGTGTGTGTGTTCATGTAACTTTATATGTATATACGTGTAATTATTAAGGTAGAAGCACTTTCAATGTTTCTATATCTATTGAATAACAATCATGGCACTTGTATCTCAAAGCTAATATCCTAAATTCTTTACCAAACATCAAGAAAATAAAAGCGGTTTGTGTTCATGAAATTTAATTGAACTAAGTAACACAAATAGAGCTGGGTGAAAATTATAGGATGATTGTACAACGTATAAAGGGAAGACTTGAGCAAGCTACAAGCTCCTAAATGCTCTTTTCTATAACCTCTCTAATTTTTCAAAATCCAACAGTAAATTGTGTAGTTGTAGCTTCAAGCACTGAATCTTATCATAAGTTGATATTGTGTGATTATACAATTGTTATGCTCTCATTTATTGTATCTTATAGAACATAATAAAATATAAACATTTTTTTATTCCAAAGCTCAAAACAAGTAGGCAGTTAGTCTGTAGTTGTAGCTTCAAGCACTGAATCTTATCATAAGTTGATATTGTGTGATTATACAGTTGTTATGCTCTCATTTATTGTATCTTATAGAACATAATAAAATATAAACATTTTTTTTTATTCCAAAGCTCAAAACAAGTAGGCAGTTAGTCTGACACATATACAAGCATCCGTTCGAATACCTAAGTTAGTATTTACTTGAATTTTCATATTTAACCTTTCATTCAAGTTCACATCCATAACATTTACTTTAATCATTTAAAAAACTTAAATTATTTCAACAGAATATCCCTAATAGATTTTTTATTAGTTAAGTTACGAATAAATATTAGGTTAACGAAACAATTTGGAGGACAAATAAGAAATTGTAGTGAATCGTATGCAGATTATATTATTAACAATCATAAGTATTATTGAAATCATGAATAGAAACTTATTTGGCTGAGTCTTCTTTCATGGCTACAGCCGCAAATAATACCTTCTCAAGGTTACTATCCATCATCAAGAATTCCCCAGTAAATTATTACTTCTATCCAAGATCCTAGCCATGACCTGGAATTCTCTTTGCACAACTATAACATCTTCGTTGGAATGAATAACATTTAATGTAATACTATATATTGTGAGTGTACTGTTGACATGAACATGTGGATTTTACGTTGTAGAAGAGGTCCTGTATCAAAGAAAGAATAGTATGACATAGTTAAACTTATATACCTCCTAGCTTCCCAAAATCCTACATGTGTACATGCATATGTCACAATTGGCATATAAATACCTCAGATACAAAACAATTTAAATTTAAAACATCAAAAATCTTTATAATTATCCTCTATCACCCCCTTTTTTATTTTTGGTTTTTCGTGGTGAGTATTGTCATGATTGTCACATAAGTACCTAAGGTAAAATCATAGTTACTTTTAAATCAAAAATTTGTGTTTGCCCTCCGTCCTTGTTCTTCTTTTTATCCTTTACTTTCTGGTCTTAGGGATTTGGGTGTTCTGATCATCTTTAAATTAAATTATGAAATATTCACATAGTTATTAACATAAGTTGGTCCTTTTCTATTTATAAATGCGCCGAGAAAAGTTGAAAGCAGAGCTATAAATGTATAAAAAATATAAAAACTTCATCCTAAAATATGTGAGCAAAAGCAAACCCATAACCTTCATATATGTACATCAAAGACCCCGACATATACAATAAGAACATATATGATCAAAATTCAAATCCAATGCTAATTAAGCCTAATTAAGCCTGATGAATACTAATTAACTCCAACCTCTAGCCTAATTAAGCCTAACCCTAGCTAAAATTAATTATTAACTAACCCTAAGCTTTTGGATCCTTAATGGGGGTTGTATGTGAAAATTTCAGAATGAAATTAAGAAATTTAGGAAATGTAAGAACATTCACATATGAAAATATCATAGCAAATGTTATTTGAAATCTAATAATCAAGAAATAAAGTGCACAAAAAATAAATTTAAAAATCATAAGCAAAATTTAGAAAAGGATCAAATCATACTCGAATATTTCTCTGATAAAAAGTTTCATCAATGAGTTTCCTTCGTGATCCTTCCCGGTGCCTAAAATCTGAGAATTGAGGAGATGATGGCAGAAGGGGTGCGGTGATGATGAGGAGAATAATAATCATCTTTGGCAATTGATGAATTAATATAGTGGGACGACGTTGCCGGAGCGAAAGCGTAACTGATGGAATGGTTGCCGGAGTGAAGTTGTAATCGACGGAATGGAGAATAAAATGAACGACGGTTTAGGGCTCGTGATTTCTGATTTCTATGCAATGAAAAAGGGGATAACTTTGTTATATTTACAATAGATGAAGGGTATTTTGGGGTAGAGAAAGTTTTTCTAGTACTCCTTCTTTTAAAGGGAGAATGATAAGTAGTATAGATTTGTAGGATACATTGCAGTTAACTACCTTATTGTTTGCCCAAGTTTGCACTTATATTCTACGAATTGCTTTTAGCTAAACTTAAATACCTTGTCATTTCCAAACATTGCTAGTTACTACCTTAAGGTCTGTTTGGCAATCTCCTGAAAACTAGGCTAGGATTGGTCCTAGTCTAGTTTATCTCTAAACTGGTTCTATTCTGATTTAATGGACGAGTGAATAAAAAAGAATCAGTTTAAGGGCTCTTTTTTCACTTAGGAATGTTTAGAGTCTTAAAGTATATGGTGATTACAGAGGCTGTTAAGGAGGCGATTTAGCTTCAAGGACTTTTGGAGGATCATGGTGTTTCGCAACAATCCGTCACCATTTATTGTGATAGCATGAGTACTATTTATTTGGCGAAGAATTAGGTCTTTCATGCGAGGACGAAGCAAATTAACGTTCGTTATCACTTCGTTCGAGATGTTCTTAAAGATTGGGATGTGAAGCTCATGAAGGTCCACACAAAAGATAATCCAGCGGATATGCTCATAAAGATGGTTCCGAGCAACAAGTTTGATTATTATAGAAACTTGTTGTAAATTCATTATTGTTGAGGTCGTTCGCGGCCATTTGGATGAATTACGGGCGGCTTGAACCCTTGGGAGAGGGGGTACATAGGTAACCACATTGGTGCAGCCGAATTTGGTGAGACGACACAGTGGTGCTCATGTTTGGTGTCCGCTCAGTTTTGGGAAAACTTCGCCGAGGTGGAGAATTGAAGAAATGGTGAAGAAGAACAGGAAATACAACGGTGCACGGTGGCTACGGGTCGGTCGACTGACAGTATAGGTCCGGTAGACCGATATACTGTAGGATTACAGGGTCTGAAACCCTATTCTGGTCGGTCGACCAAACGCGTTCGACCGGTCGACCGAAAAATCTGGCCGGTCGACCGAACACTTATGGCCGGTCGATCGAAAACATGCACGATTACAGGGCTAGAATTTGTTTCTGGCCGGTCGACTACAGTGCTATGACCGGTCGACTGATAGTGGGTATTTGAGCTGTTTGTTTTTCTCAGTTAGTTTTGGACGATGTTTTGATATAAATTGAATCACCAGTTTTAGGGTTTCTTAAGGAGAGAATTAGCAGTCTTTTGATCACTTTGAGAGGGAGATATTGTGAGGGAATTAAGAACTTTAGTTAGGGTTATATTTGAGTGATTTTGTGAGTTAATTGTAATCCGTTGTATTTCTCCTTCATATAGTAAAATCTCCCCATCCTCTCCCCGTGGACATAGGCAATTGCCAAACCATGTAAATTCTTGTGTTTGGTTTGATTTGTGTCGTATTTGGTGGATTGCACTCGTGATTTGATTTGGTTTTCTTCTCTCATCGCTCACCAACTCGTTTGGTTGTCGAGCCCGCTTTTGTACGACGCGCAACATTACCTTCTCCCAAAGTCCCATAATTGAGCTTTAAAAGATCCAAATAAAGAAAAAACAGAGAGCCAAAAAGAAATGAATAGTTTTTCAAAATCATGTAAGTTGTGCAAGTGTCTGATATATATTTAAGGCAAAAATCCATTACATTCATGTTTTCTTGGCAAAGACAACAAAAAATATTCAAATAAAGGTAAAGCATAGAGTACTAGGAAAAGTAAGAAAGAATCCAGTGAGGACGGTCGATGTCGTTAAATATACACCCAAAGGATGTCAACCCTGGGATTTGTGCGCAAATCTCACAATTCAATGATCCAAGGAGTAAACATTCATTTGATGCACATTTAATGTCATGAATCAGGTTGCACTTGATTGTTTTTCCATAAAAAGCTCCTTCTTAAGACACTCTTCCAAGTTTGAAGCACGCTGGTTTGTTTGGCTACCAAGGTGTTTTTTGTTGTAGTGTTTTTCTAAAAAACACATTGGTGTTGTGTTTTTTCTTAGGTAAAGTGTTTGACAATGGTGTTTTTTCTCCTAAAGTGTTGCACTCCATAATGCATCATTACAGAAGCTAAAAATGACCCATATCACAATAGTCATCCACAACCAATATTCAAGGTAAAATCCAGAAAATAAAATCAAATCTGAGTGGCAAAAAAATTCACCTGCTTCCTCTTTTCTTCTTGTAGCCAAATCAATGTCGCTAAGCCTCAACAACCGAAGCCACATAATCCCCTCAGAATCAATTTCCAAAAAACCCAACAAATGTCAGCCAAAATCGCACAAAAAATCACCCAAAATTAGAAAAAAAAACAGAGAAGAAGAAGAGGATGGGTTATCTAAACCTGGGTTCAGGGCATTGAAGAAGAGAGAGGCGGGATCTGAAGGCGTCGACGGCGACGACGAGATCAAATCTGACTGGCGGCGATGGCGACGAGATCAAATCTGAGTGGCGGCGACGACGAGATCAAATCTGAGTGGCGGCGACGAGGAGATCAAATCTGAGTGGCGGCGACGACGAGATCAAATCTGAGTGGCGGCGACTGGTGCTGCGTTGATGGGGGAAAAGGGGTTTGGGGGAAAATAAACGGGATCTCAAAACACCTAAAAGGTGTTTTGAGAAAAACGTGGATTTTTTCATATTTGTAAAGGGACAACTTAAAAAAACACCCCAGTTCCCAAACAAGTTTCAGTGTTTTTTTGACAAAAAAAAATGGAAACAGAAAAACACATTGATAGCCAAACGCTCAAATCTAATGAGAGAGTAGTTTTTTTCTAAATTTTTTCAACTTGCATCACCATTTCTGCACTTTCACTCACCACCGTGAAAATGCATCTGTCACCTACCTCCAGCTTGCTACCCCTTGCAAACTGCAACCAACCTTTTCCAATGCTTATCAACGATCCATACTTCACCATTCTTTTACACAGATGAACCGGCCATGATCGACCCTTCAAATCCTCGAGTATCAGTTTACGTCGATGACCAAAGCCATCACATTGTCTCGTGAATTCCGTCGGAATATGCTGCATCAATTAATTAAGATCAACTCAACTATGAAAAAACAGTAAAAAAATGCAAATAATGGAGATACGTGAAGACTTATTTGGAATGAATCACGACTGATTACTAAATAAAAGACAGATACTTTTTGGACAAATTTTTGAAAACACCTAATTTTCAAATTTATATAGCAAAATCGACCCTTTCTGAAAAAATTAGCAAAACCAACCATTTTCAGATGAAAAAAGTCGGTTTTGCTGAGGAAGTGTTTTTCGAACTGCACAGGACTAGCAGCCTGTGCCTTTTGTTTTCTTTTTGAACTGCACGGGACTAGCAGTCCCGTGCATTTCAAAACTATTTACTGAGTGCAGTTCGAAAAGAAAACGAAATGCACGGAACTACTAATCCCGTGTAGTTCAAAAAACAAAATGCACGGGACTGCTAGTCCCGTGCAGTTCGAAAAGCTCTTCCGCAACAAAACCGACCATTTTCATCTGAAAATGATCGGTTTTGCTGATGTTTTTCAAAAATGGCCGATTTTGCTATATAAATTTGAAAAATGAGTGTTTTCAAAAAATTGTCCATATTATTAATAAAGGAAATTCTCTACTTCTTTTTTTTTTTTTTTGGTCAATGAACTGAAATTTTATTCATCTCCCAAATTGAAACATATTGAAGAACAACAATGTACTAGGAAAGCCTGGAAAACCAAAAGAAAATTACAAGTGCTCAAGTATCTCTTTCATATGTACATATATACTCTCATTTTGAACTATTGAAAAAACGGAAAGTTTAATATCCTTAAAAATCTGAGCAGGTTGCCTCTCTTTAGCTTGAAAAATTCTCTGGTTCCTCTCTTTCCAGATCATATAAACTGCACTGGAAAGACACATCCTCTTCAATTTCTTCATATGGCCCTGACCTTTCAAATTGTGAGAGTACCAGTTCAATATCAATCTCCATACACAAGACCTCTATCTATACTTCAATCAGTCCATTACCATGTTCCAGACAGCAGCTGAAAATTGGCATTCAAAGAAAACATGGTCTCTTATCTCCAAGTGGTGCTCATTACACAAGACACAATGATTCTGATTTGTGCTCAGTATGCTCATTCGACATAGTCTATCTTTGGTGAGGAGTCTTGAATGACAAGCTAACCAGAGAATGAAAGAATGCTTAGGATATAGGAAACTATCCCAAACAGTTTTTGCCCAAGCAACAACATTAGCAGGCTGGATAAGAACTCTATATACTGCAGATAATTGAAGCTTATCATCAGTGCAACATTCAGATAAGGTATTCTTTATATTATCAGCATTTTCAAACCTTTGCATCAACATATCTCTCACTTTTAGGAGCTGCCTCCACATCCATGAATCATTTACCTTAGATTGAACAGCCCAGATACTCTGATTTTGTAAAATAGTTCCCATGAATCCACTTGATCCATAGGAGGTCCTTTTTAAGATATATCATCCACAGGAGCTTTGTAGCAGCAGCATAGTTCCAGAACTTGGATGAAAAGATACGTAAGTAATTGCTAAGCCAGTATGTTTGAATGCCCAATATAACAGACTTAATCAGTTCAAGTCTACCAGCATAAGTCAGACATCTCTTTTGTTGCCAGGATTGAAATTGGTTATTGATTTTTCCAATAAGACTAGAACAGTCAATATATGATAGCCTTTTTGCATTCAGAGGTAACCCCAGATATTTCATAAGTAGCACTCCCTCAGGAAATTTAAGATAATTGCATATCTGAGCTTTGAGGTTATTGCTTACCCCACTCAGATAAACAGAGCACTTACTAGAATTGGCTTCCAACCCTGAAGCTTGTCCAAACTCTTGAAGGCATGTAAAAATTTTCACAATGGAGCTCATATCAGCTTTGCATAATAGTAACAAATCATCAGCAATAATCAGATGATTAATTTTCAATCTGGAGCATTTTGGGTGGTATTTGAAAGAAGTATCAAGCTTTAGAGCACTAAGCTTTCTAGATAGGAATTCCATTCTAATGACAAAAAGGTAGGGGGAGAGTGGATCCCCCTTGTCTCAAACCTCTAGCACTATAGAAATAACCATGTAGTCCACCATGTAGAGATAAGGAGAATTTAGGAGTGGAGATACACTACATAATCCAACAGATCATGTTAATAGGAAAGCCTAATCCAGACAACATACTCCTTATGAAATCCCAGCTAATAGTGTCAAAAGCCTTCCTTAAATCAACATTCAAGATAGCTCTTTGGGAGTTATTTTTCCTTCCATAGTGTTTAATAAGATCATGAGCCAACAAGAAGTTGCTAGATATGAGCCTCCATTTGACAAAAGCACACTGTGCATCATTAATTAGATAGCCCATAACTTTTTGCACCCTGCTGGCAATAACTTTAGAAATGATCTTATAGATGACATTGCAGCGGGATATAGGCCGAAAATTAGCAGCTGACATAGGATTAAGAACCTTGGGAACAAGAGTAATAGATGTGTTATTAAGGGAGCCCAAAAGTGTACCTAAGTGAAAGAATTCCTCAACTGCTAGAAAGAGATCCTCACTGATGACACTCCAAGTAGCTTTAAAGAAATAAGCATTGAACCCATCAGGCCCAGGAGCCTTACTATCAGGCATTGAGAATAATGCTTGCTTGATCTCATCCCTAGAAACAGGAGAACTCAGTACATGCTGCTATTCAGAGGTTAAAATAGGGCCATTTGAGATTATACTAGGATCAATAGTTGAATTGGCCTTAGCATAACCCAGCAAGTTCTTGTAGTAATCAATGAGTTCTGATGAAATTTCAAATAAATCTAAAATTCTGGAGCCATCTGAAGTGTATATTGACAGAATTCTATTTTGGTGCCTCTTAGATTTCATAACTGAATGAGAGAAATGAGAGCTCTTATCTGAATGAAGTCCCCATTTGATGCTGGCTTTTTGCCTCAAGAAAGAATTTTATTTTCCAGCAAAATAGAATATTTCTTAATGCACTCCTTCTCTTTTAAAATCAAATCAACATTAAAAAGATCAGAGTTCAACTTGGATTGGATATCCAAAAGTTCAGCTTGAGCTCTTAATACCCGCTGACTAATATTCATGTAGCTTTTCTTATTAAGATCCTTGAGAGCATGCTTGAGGCTTTTGAGTTTTGAATAAAATCTGTACATGTTATACCCCCTGACATTCTGATTCCAAGTTGATCTCACCACTTCTAAAAAATCAGGATGTTTAGCCCACATATTGAAGAATTTAAAAGGCTTTTTTCCTTCAAAAGAATCATCTCCAATAGTAATAAGACTAGGGGAGTGATCAGAGCAAAGAGGCATCAAATATTCTACTTGACTTGTAGTGTATTGATGAACCCAATCTTCATTTATCAAGGATCTGTCCAACCTGCTCCAAACTCTTGTTTCAGCATCCTGCTTATTGCTCCATGTGAAAAAATAACCAGTGGTTTTTATGTGACTCAGTTGGCTAGATGAAATAAACCCTTGAAAATCTTCATTACCAGCTCCAGAGGCACCTCCAATTCTTTCATCACCATTTACAATAGCATTAAAATCCCCACCCACAAGCCAAGGGCAGTCAACACTCCTTTTGAAAGCTAATAGTTCTTCCCAAAGAGTTTTCCTTTCATCATTATGGTTGTGAGCATAAACTACAGTAAAGAGGCATGACAATTTGCCATCCTTAGAATTTATAGCACAGGTGATATATTGATCAGAGGACTTAACCTCTTGAATAGAAAGCACTTCACTATCCCATAAAATCCATATTCTAGCATTATTTGCCAAATGCTTGTTAGATAACCACTTCCACTCTTTTGCAATTTTCTTTCCAATAATTTGTAATTTCTCATCCCCAGCAATTTTAGTTTCTAGGATGTCTAGAAAAGAAATCTTGTATTCCTGTATAAACTTTTTCACAATCCCATGCTTAGAGGATTTATTAAACCCCCTAATGTTCCAAATAGCTAAGTGCATTTATTGAAAAGAACCCCCTCTATCAGCATTAGAGGGATCCAAATCAAATATTTGATGTTTAAAGATAGAGAATTGAGAGGCTTGCACTGATGTACCAGGGTCTCTCATAATAGACCTTTTTGCATTCATAGCTCTAGATACATTTGTAAACCCACTTGAGTTAATTGAAGGAGAGGAGTAAGCTTTCTACATTGACTGATTGTAAGAACCCCCTGCTGTGCATGTTTCCCCAGCCTGTAAAGGTACAGAATTTTGCTGTGCATGTTTTTCCAGCAGTGCATGTTTTACAGGAGCTAATCCATTTAGATCATTCACAGATTCTATAGCAATTGATTCTTGATTATTTGGCATCTCATCCTTATCAGAAATTTTATCCCTCACTTCAGCCTCTCTCACTTCATTAGGAACACTGGGGACAGGTTTATTAACAGGCACCCAAGCTTTTTTTTAGCATGTTTCCTACAGTGTTGAGTGTCATGACCTACACTTTTGCAAAAGGAGCACCATCTTGGTTTGAACTCATAAACCACCTTTTGGTGATAGCTTTTCCCATCAGGACCTTGAATTTCAATTTGATCAGGAAGTGGTTCTTTGAAAGGTAATTCTACTTCCAATAATACCCTTGCATAACTCAATCTTTGCCTTGAGGCAGTAAGTTTAGCAGTAGCAATAGGGCATCCAATCAAACTAGCAACCTTGCTTATACCAATGGAACTCCACAGATTCAACCTTAGGTTTGGAAATTATACCCATATAGGGTATTTCTGGTCTTGTAATTTCTCTATATCCATATCAATTGACCATGGCTTTAATACCAGAGGACGTGAACCAAAAAACCAAGGCCCTCCTTCCAATATTCTCCTCATACTGTTTTCATTTTGGAATTCAAACAGGAATATACCTTGTTTAATCAAAAATACTTTAGGGATAGAAATTTTCCCCCAAAGTTTTGAAACATAGGACTCCATAGATTTATACTTAACATTCATCCCAATTACATGTCCAATTAGAGCAAATTTCCAGAAATTTTCCCCTTCTCTCCACTCATCCTCATTAAATGAAACGGTATTTTCTTGAGAAGATGGAACAAAATTTAAGGATAAACCTGCTACAACTTGTCTATTGTCTGAAAATAAACTGACAAAAGATTTCTTAGCCCCTGACACTTCCTTGTCAAGGATTTTGACCCTTCTTCATTATTTTCCAGGTTCATATTCTTTTCTTGAGCAATTTCAAGAGATTTTTCTTTTAAGATTCCTTCAAGGTTTGAGTTAGTATAATCAAACTTATTCTGATCCAAAAAAGGAGTTCGAACCTCATCACAAGAATCCTCAACCAGATCAGATTCACCAGATTCTTCAACATCATCAGCCCAGGAGTGAGGGGATTTACCTAGTTCATGAGAAATTCGAAAATCAGCTCCAATGTGAGGAGGATCAGACAGTGGATTCGTTCTTGCAAGAATCTCAGATATCGAAACCTTCTTCTTTGCTCCTTTAGGCCCTGTGCTTTCCATTACTTGAGTGAGAAGATGCATTGTTACATCCGATTCCACATCCGAAATATTTGTAGATTCAGCTCCAAAGCCAGCAGAGATTCTAAACGACGAAGGATAAGAGAAAAGTGAATCTTGCAGCTCATTATTCAGAGTTCTCTTGCTCGCGCTCTTCTTCTTCCTCGATCTCTCCATTCAAATCTAGGCGGAGGCGCAGGTTAGCAGGGAGATCGCCTGCTAACATGCACCTTCAGATCGTCAACTTTCGTTACCATCACTATCATCATTTCTCTACTTCTTTTAGATTTGATGTTGAGGTACAAAATCACGAAATAGTTGATTAAGATATTGATTTCTGCCTTTTTAACAATACTTAAGATCAAAATTGGAAATTTAAAGTTTGTAAGAAAAATGGGTAAATTTCACAAAATTCTCGATACCTTGGGATGTTCCCAGTAAACCCCCAGTACTTCCACCAAACACCAAAAACTTTCCTACACAGCACTCAAAGTGACGAAAATGCCCGTTAGTCCAAAAAAAATCCTTTCTAATTTCATCCTTAATTTTAATCCTTTTTTCACATTAGGCAATTTGCAAATCTATCGGTGTTAGGGAGAGGGGAAGAGGGAGAGAGGATGAGTTTATTTACAAATTACATTATTAAAGGGTTTTTTTGCAAAAAATTATCATGAAAATGGATTTGTTTGGCTGAAGGGCATTTCTAACACTTTGAGGTTTATGATAAAAGTTTTTGATGTTTAGGGCCTGTTCGTTTGCCTAAAAAAAAGAGGGAAATCAAAGAAATAGAAAACTATTAAAATGAAGAATTGTTTTTGGAGTGTTTGGTTGGCTAAAAAAGAAGGAAATCAAAGAAATAAAATTGAAATGATGTTAGTTGTCACCTTATTATTGGATGATGTTTGTGATTTTTTAAGAAAACTAGTTTTGGAGTGTTCGGTTGGCGAAAAAAAATAAGGAAATGAATTATAAGAAACCTATTTCCTGTAGTTTCTTGTTTTTTTTTGTTCGGTTTATTCTTAAAAATAAGAAATGAAATGAGATGAGATGAGTTGTCATTGTATTATTGGGTGATGTGAAGAAAGATTAAGAAAAGTGTTTTCATAACTTTTTGGGATGAAAATGAAGAAATGAAATGTTAATGAGATGAGGTGAATTGTTATAATATTTTATTGGATGATGTGAGTGATTTGATGATGAGAAGATATGAGTTGAGTGATGTTTGGATGAAAATAATATTTTATTAGATGTGATGGATGAGTTGTTAGATGAAAATAATATTTTATTATGGTGAGTTTTGAGATTTTCACCATTTCCATTTCCATTTCTTGGTTTTTAGAAAACAAACGAACAGGCCAGTGGGAAAACAAAGTATTGGCTGGGGAGTTGTTTGTGGGAAACACCCAAATTATTGGGGGGGGTTTTGTCAAATTTACCAAAGATAATAACTCACCAAGCGCGGGAGGGACACCCAAATTATTGGGGTTTTTTTTTCAAATTTACCAAAGAAAATAACTCACCAAGCGCGGGAGGGACAAGTTGGTTCTCGTCATGGTCACCTCAAAGTGTTTAGCTCCTTCTACAAGTTTGAGCATAAATTAGTCAAACAATGTAAATAAATAAAATGTACTTATATATCTATATATATAATATATATATATATATATATATATTATATATATAATATTATATATATATATGATATATATATATATATATCAGTCATATATATAAAAGATATCAATAATTGGTTGCGGGTCTTCTCTTTAAAAACTTTTGAAGGATAGGTAATTTCACAGGCACTCAAATCGTATGCTTTGAAGTTGAACATCATGTTGCCTTTGTAGGAGAACACTAAGAAGTGTCCCAACTCAAAGTTATGTGCGTGTATTAGTTCTAACCACCCATCTCCTCCAAAATACACGCTTTGGTTCTTTTGATAGATGTTGATGAGCCATGAGTCGCCACTTGGGTTTACTAGTCTTGCTTTTCTGATGCTTTCCCCCTTGGGCATGTGCTTAACAAAAGCTTTGGGTAGGACCTGCATGCAAAGATGAAAGTTAGATGGGGGGAGGGGGGAGAGAGAGAGAGAGAGAGAGAGAGAGAGAGAGAGAGAGAGAGAAGAGAGAGAGAACCAGTTTGTTTAAGAAGCCTGGCCAGAGGATCCTGAAGAATCTAGAGCTGCAGGGATTTGGAGTTTGAGTGGCCATCTGAAGGATTCTGAAGAGGCAAATGGTGTAGAGGAGAGGAGAAAGTAAAGGGATTTTATCTCAAGTAATTAATGTTGGCTGTTCTGTGTTCAATCACTGAACAGTAGTTGGTATTGATTACTCTCTCTCTCTCTCTCAAGAAGCGCAACATATCATCACCTCAAGTAATAGTGAAATTTTTGGTGTGAAGATTTATTGCGGAGTTATCATAAGACATCTTTAGCAAAGGCATAAAATTTACAGAAATTTTTGGTGTGAAGATTTATTGCGGAGTTATCATAAGACATCTTTAGCAAAGGCATAAAATTTACAAGAACTAGTGAATTTTATACAGATTGTTAGGTTATCATAAGACATCTTTAGCAAAGGCATAAAATTTACAAGAACTAGTGAATTTTATACAGATTGTTAGGATATTATCCTCTAGCCAAGCAGTAGTTATGTGTAATCCAATAATCCATCAAGAATCTAGTGCAGGCTCACTGGCAAAACTGTGCTTGGTAGGCTGCGTCTGGCCTAGTTAGTGGATTGATTTTGCTTCCTCCCACTTAATGTAGTTCTTTCTTAAATGATGTCCAGTGGAGGGGTTCTCATATGATTTTTTTTTTCTCCTCACGTATTTCTCACTATGTTGTGTTATGAAAACGTTAGCTTACAGCATATATAACATCAGTATATTTCAATTGGTTTCTGTCAACCAAAAAGCAAAAAAAAACTTGCACTTCAATTTGTTATAAATCAAAGTATCTTCTGAAGAAACCGTGAAGAAGTTTGGTGAAGAACAGGTGTTGGGATCCGCAGGAGTCAGTTTGGGAGCTGCGCAGTCGACCGCGACGCAAGGACAGTCGACCGCGAACGTGCACAGACTCTGGGAGGAGTCTGGATTTGGCGCGGTTGACCGCCTCGGTCCACCGCGAGACCATGTAGGACATTTTTGGGTTCTGTCGTTGTCGCGGTCGACCTTGACCGCCTCGGTCCACCGCGAGACCATGTAGGACATTTTTGGGTTCTGTCGTTGTCGCGGTCGACCGCCAGACCCTGTAGGAGTTTCCAGGTTCTGTTTGTTGGTCGCGGCCGACTATGACGGTCGACCGCGTAACGGGTCAGGCCAAGTTTGAGTTTCCTGTTCTGATTTGAATTTTGGTGTTTGTATAAATACCAATATACGTTCTAGGGTTTCTAAAGGCTAGAGTTTGGGATATTTGGAGCACAGAAAAAAGGTATTTTCCGAGCTATTTGTTTAGGGTTTATTTGGAGAGATTAAGAGCTTTGTGGTGAGATTAGTTTGTTCCTTCGAGTGATTTGTAATCTCAATTTGTACTCTTATTCTCTATTAGTGAAAAACTCCATCCCCTTCTTGCCCCGTGGACGTAGGCAATTGTCGAACCACGTTAAAACTGATGTTTGGTGTTTGTACATTGATTTTGGTTGGATTTTGCCTTCTTTAATCGACGGTTGGTTTGGTTTCTCGACACGGGTTTTCCCCAACAATTGGTATCAGAGCTTGGGCTACGCTTGGGCTATTTGAAGGAGTAGATCGATTTGGAAGCTGATCTTGGGTTTCAGTTGATGATAAAGGTAGGATCTTTTTGGTAAAGACTCTATCTTTTTTTTAAGTTTGGATCTATTTCTTGTTCGTTTCCGCAATTGTTTGTTGGTGTGTTGAGGATTATGGCCGGGAAAGAAGGTGTTGAGGGTGGTTCTTCAAGCGTGAAGAGTGTCCAAAGTTTGAATATCCACTCGATGAAGATTGACATGGAGAAGTTCAATGGCACTAACAATTTTGGACTTTGGCGATGCGAAGTCTTGGATGTGCTCAATGCGTAGAATTTAAAAGATACGTTAGAGTTGGATGGGAAACCGGACGACATTGATAAGAAGGTTTGGAAGAAAATGAATAGAATGGCGTATTATGTGATTAGGTCTTGTCTCACTCAAGATCTAATATATGATATGATGAATGAGACTTTGGCAAAGAAGATTTGGGAGGTCCTAGAGAGCAAGTACTTGACGAAGAGCATCGAAAATCGCTTGCATTTGAAAACGAGGCTTTATCGCTTCCAATTGAAGAAGGAGACATCCATTGATGATCACATGAACCACTACACGAAGCTTCTTACAGATTTGACAAATGTAGATGTTATTGTTGAAGATGAGGACAAGGCGTTGCTATTGTTGAGTTTCTTGCCCGACGAGGAATATGAGACCTTCGTCCTTACTCTTATTAATAGGAAGGTATCTCTTTCATATAGTGAGGTCACCACTGCACTTATGAATTACCAACTTAGGAAGAAGGATAAGGAGATTTCTATTGAGCTGGTAGCGGGTGCATTGGTTGCAAGAGCAAAGAGTCTAAACCGAGGTAGAAGGTCGCAGTCTAGAGGAGCACATCTTGGAATTCGTAGGAATTAGTGTGCTTTTTATAAAGAAGATGAACATTAAAAAGCCAAATGCCCAAAATTGAATGATTGAGCCGGGAAGAATAAGGGGAAAGCGATTGAAGCTTCAGAGGTGAATGTTGTCAATGCTAGTGGCGATATTTCAGATTCGGATTCTTTGGGCTATTCGTGCCCAGTACTTCCATCAGTTTGTGTAGCTGACTCCACTGAGTGGATGTTGGATTCGGGTGCCTCATACCATATTTGTCCTAGGAGGGATTAGTTCTCCAGCTTTCAGGAGTTGGAAAGAGGGGATGTTGTGCTCATGGGTAATGATCACAAATTCCCTATTGGTGGTATCAGTACCGTTCGTATTCAGATGAGTGACGGGATGATTCGGGAGTTAGTTGAAGTAATGTTCGTTCCTGAATTGAAAAAGAACATTATTTCACTTGGAGTTTTGGAGGCAGCAGGCTATAGGGTGACCTTGACGGATGCACGTTTGAAGGTTACATTTGAGTCCATGATTGTGATGAAGGGCATCAGAAGGAGTAACTTGTACTATTTGCTTGGGAGCATGGTGATTGATAGAGCGCTGACGACTTTATTGGATTTGGCTAGACTGTGGTGTTGTTTGACGCTGGGGTATTTCATTGGCGATGTCGTGCATAGGTTGTTGAGGAGTGCGTTGACCTGCAAATGGAAGTCCTTTGAGCACATTAGGATGAGCGAGAAGACCATGGTGGAGTTCGGCATTTCTATCCATCGATCGAGGGGTCTTTTAGGAGGTGTTCAGTCAGGCATTTGGGGGCCTTCCAAGGAGGTATCATTGGGAGGTAATCGTTTTTTGGTTGCTGTAGTTGGGGATTGTTCTAGGCATTTATAGGTCACAACCAAGCTCCATTGGTTTGAAGTCCTAGTAGTCCGCAACAGTTAGGAGAAGTGTGTTGGTAAAAAGGTTATCTGTCATACTAGCTCGAGTAGGGGTTTCTTCTTGCATTTGTGCCGAGCTCATGGAAGTTGGAAACACTTCATTGGAGAGGAGACATTGAGGCGACGATATGAGATGACAGATTTAATGAGATGTTCCTTTCTAGAGGAGGATCGATGTTGGTTGTCGAGCATTAGACTTGGTATTCGGGCTTCAACACGTTTGGGTCATCTTATACATAGGTTGTCGACTGCTGCATTTAGTGATTTTGGATCTGGTGGAGCTGCTTTAGATTTTGATTGGCGTTGGATATTTGGTTACCCAGTACTTGGTCACATCAAGGATGTGAAATTTGATCCGATTGCGCGCTTGGGATTCAGAGGCTCGTTTGGCTATCATTTGGGAGCTTCTGATTTCTTTCTGAGCAGGTATGTCACATTGGACTCTTGATAGGTGGGGAGTGTTGATCAGATCAGTTGGATATTGTAGCGGGTGGAGGGTGATGCTACTCCATAATAGGTGGGTATTACTCCACATACTCCAGATCATTCTGTATTATTTGGGACTTCAGCTGAGGTGACACAGCATGAGGGTCATTCGGTTTCGGATGCAGATGACGTGTTGATTGTTTTGAGTGCAGCTGATCGGCATAGTTTGGACATGGCCATTGGTTCACCTCAGGCAGAGGTATTTGGATTGCTTCAGTTTGAGGTCATTGGAGGTGCTATCAGTCACAGATTTGGTGATGATGGGGAGGGTTGCGTGCTCTTCTATTGGATTGAGGGCCTTTGGAGATCATTGGGTGAACTACGTGAAGGCTTTATTCCTTGGGCAAGAGGATACAGAGGCAGTAAGTTTTGATGTAACCGATTTGGTGAGAGACATCAACGTTTGGGTGAGTGTTCGCACTCCCGTTTGAGCCTCGACTTGTTGTGGATTGAGTTCGTTGTCGTGAATAGTTTCACTTCGTACTGAACGCAATAAGTGAGGTATTTGGTTTGGTTGGTGTCGGCTCAGTTTTGGAAGAAACTTCA